CCTTACCTATAGAGGAGTACAGATCAGAATTATGTTTGACTTCTCTCAGAAACCACGCGAGCAGGAAGCAAGGAGTGACCTGACCTGTCTGTACCTCCCTTGGCCAGCCTGTAGCCTGTAAAACAAGCCTCACAGTTCCTCCCCTTTTCGGCCATGCAGTCAGTGCTCAGTAAGGGGTCACAAACACTTGAAAGCATCTGCTCAGGGAGTGCTCATGATGGCACAGGAGGAAACTTTTTCACCTCCTATGAATTGTAAACATGTAACTCTTCCAAAGACTATGTAGACACGAGGAATGAACTAGATCAGTGGGTGTCCTGGGCACTCCCCACCCCGCCCCACCCCCATGAATCACGCGTCTTGTTGGAGGAAACACAATCAGAATTTCCTCCCAAATTAACTGTTCCACTCTCCCACAACCAGTCTAGCGCTTCCTTCATGTTGTGGGAAGTTCAGGGAAAAGGTGGAAAGAAAGGTAGTGACAGGTGTCCCTGCCCCCAACTCTGCCTGTGCCCACGCTGTGCACTTGGCCTGTGGCATCTCTTGGGTCTCCAAACAACCCTGTGAGGCTGATAGTTTCATCCCCATTTGAGACACAAAGGGGTTTGGACTCAGGGAGGTTAACTAATTCTCTGACGATCAGATCGCACGTTACTAGGGAGTGAGGATGGGATTTAACACCAACCCACCTCACGGAAAACTTGGCTCTGAAGGGAAGGCAGCAGGGCCTCCTGGCCTGGACTCTGTTGATCAGGGCAGGTTGGTTTTGTTTTTTGTTTTTTGAATACTCACCTGAGGATGTGTTTATTGATTTTAGAGCAGGTAGGGGAGAGAGAAACAAAAACATCAGTGTGGGAAAGAACACTGATCAGCTGCCTCCCACATTCACCTTGACTGGAGATCAAGCATGCACCCTAGGTCTGTGCCCCGACTGGGAATCGAACCCTCAACCTTTTGGTGTAGGGGATAATGCTCCAACTAACTGAGCCACCAGGCCAGGTCTGGCCCTTGGTCTTGATCCAGAATAGGAAGTAATATTTCTGATAATCTCTTAAATTGGAAATGACTTTTAGGCTCCTCTGGGGAGCAACATAGTGCTTCTTGTGTCCTTATCTTTAAGAAGAGGATGGGAGGCCCACAGATTGTGCGTGTGGACACTCTTTATTCTGGTTAGTGCTCTGCAGCCCTGGCTGAGGTGTGCGGGTGGGGACGGGTGCCCAAGGTGCTGCATGTGCTGCCCTTCTGTGAGGTGACACTTGGATCGGTTGGAGGTGCTCAACATGAGGGACAGATGTCTTTTTGTACTTCTGTAGGAAGAGGGGAGATTTCACGTCGCTCCCTGTCACACGGAACAGAAAAGGCTCCTCAGTGGGGGAAGGCACGTCCCGCTCAGTCTCTTTTGTTTTCTTTTCCTCTGCCTCTTTCTGTCACTCTTGTGTCTGAATGGGTTGTGTGAGCTTCCTTAAAAAAAAAAAAAGACCAGAAAGTTCTTCAGGCATCAAGAAAGACTGGAACAACAACAACAACAACAACAAATTCATAAAGACAATTTGATATTTCTTCTTTATTGTGCCAGTCACAACTGCCATTGACTACTGACTTGATTTTCTGGCAAGCAAAATTCTTTCACTGGCTGTGAAGTCAGCACCACGGACAGACATTAACTGCGAATTATGTTTCCTCCACCACACCCCCTGCACCTAGCACAGGTCATTTACTCGCGCCGTCACTGCGTAGTGATGGGACAGCCCTCACCTGCAGGGCACTGCGGCCCGTGATGGAGGCGCAGAGAAAGCTAGGATGTGCTCTCTGCCCCACCGAAGCTTAGGCTCTGGTAGGTGATCCACATACACAAACAGGTGTGTCCAAAGAGGGGGAAAAAGCATATGGCAGAGACAAAGATGGTGAGAGGAGAGAGGAGACAACTGGGAGGTGTCACCTCTGAGATGTCTCTTGTCACCAGGTGGAGAACAAAGGGCAGGGCATTTTAGATGGTGGCGTTGTGGGAGGATGGGGTGCATGAGTGGGAGAGGCGAGAGAGGAGCCTGGAAGCCTAGACTGGTGTCAGACTGTCCATGGGCTTGTATGTGCCACTAAGGAGTTGGCGGTGTTTTCCAATCAGGCAAAGAAAAGCTGATGGCCGGTGAGGACACTGGCCTCAGTGCTGTAACCGAAGACTGAATCCTGCCAACCACCTGCTGAGCAAGGAAAGGGACCCACCCCTAGAGCCTCCTGAAAGGAGCACAGTTGCGCCAACAACATTAGCCCCACGCACCCCAGGCCAGACGTCTGACCTACAACACCGCCCGACAGCCCTTCTGTGTCGTTTAAAGCCACTGAGATGCTGGTAGTTGTTTACGGCACCAACTAAAAAGTAACAGAGGGCCAGATTAGGCCAGCCTCCTTTGCCCCTTCCATAGCCTTTTCTTTACATGTCTGTGGCCTCTACGGGCCCATTGTTGGGGCTTTTCTTCCCCCTCCTGTGTTTTCTGTCTAGGGTCAACCCAACACCCAGATATAATTTCAAGGGGAAAGAAAAAGCTTAAAGCAAAGATTGCAAGTTTTGCTTGACCTGCATAGCATTACAAATATTTTAAACCTCTCATTCTTCTTTCTTCTTCCTTTTCCCATCCACCTTCCCCTCCCTCCCTCCTTTCTTCTCTTTTCTTTCTTTTTTTCCCTAAGTAAGCTGCCCCTTTCCCCTGTGCGATGTGTTCTCCGGTTCCCCACACTCGACCACTCCGCTTTCTCTCATGCTTTACTTTTCTCTCTTATGTTTCCTGTCTGCCTTTGAGAGGTGACTGGTTCTGAGACACTCGTCTAAATCTCGCGTTAGAACATGCTAGACCTGGGATTGCTGAGGTGAGATGGTGTAGGAAACCGAAGGGAGCGATCAGCAAGACAGCTGATCGCAGATCAGGACGTGTTTCTGTTTAGGGTGGTCCTACTAAGTACCGTGTGGTCTCCAGCCAGGTCTCCCATGGTCTTCCTGACCTGTCGCTCCCATAGGTGCACCCAGCTGGTCCCAATCTCTGTCTGTGATCTCTGTCCTGTCACACCACTTTTCGTCCTTGGGAGAAGCCTGGGAAATAAAGGACATCAGCACAGCAGGGAACATTGGTTGGAAGTGGGACAGGGTTCCCCAATACGCTCTCCAGCTTTTCCCCGTCCTGCGGCCGGTGCAGTCAGTGCGCTGACCGCCCCTCCGTCAGCTCAGGTAGGGAGCTCGCTGACGACACTCTATCGTTTCCCCCCGATTTTCCTGAAAGGACAGAAAAATGGGCCCAGTCACTCTAAACTATGAGAATAAGTTAGGCCTTCAGGTCAGAATTTTTCCAAAAAGTCTCTTTATCTAGTAATTGGCAAATGAACAGAACTCCAGGGAAGAATGATTTCTTCTTGCGTGAACAGTTGCAGAGATGGCGACCGCAGAATGCGGGGCAGCCCAAGAATCAGAAGCGGATGTTCTAGTCCAGACTCTGCGTTTGCCACTCAGTGATCACAGGAAAACCACTTCCTCCTGTGAGGGTCAGTTTCTTCAGCTGTATGAACATTCGTGACTTGGGACGTGGTTACTCATGGGGTTCTGAGTGTTCGCTGAGACAACGGGTGGGAGTCGTTGTCTACATGGGAGATCCTGGCATTAAAACACCCCACCTGTCACTGCTGATAAAACCAGCACTCCCCCGGGTGTTTCATGCCAGGTCCACACGTCTGTGTCAGGGTTCTTCACCAGCCCGGAGTCAGGGATTGTCGAGGCCATGCTGCTGCAGAGTGAGACCAACACCCCGGTCTCCTGCCCGCAAGAGTAGGGCTCGGCCACATGTCCACTGTGGAAAGACCACCTGCCAGGACTTCAGGATCAGCGAGGGCACAGGTGCTTCTGCTTCTGCTCTCTGCCCACGTCTCGCCCTCTGTGATCCAGTCCTGTCATGTCCGGGCGGTCACCCCATTGGTCTGTTTGGGCTGGTGCCAGGGCATTGCATTTCCGACCAGAAGAGGTTCCGTCAGTGTCAGGAGGCTTCCGAGACATCATTGCCTCTGTGGGGGCCCTGACTAGATTATTTCTTCTCCCTTTTGGGGCCGGGAAACTTTTGTCTGAAGGAAGAGAGAAGGGCCGGTTCACACAATGGTGATGAGGTGTTGTATTCTCTGCCAGTTTGTGGCCGCCACTCCCTTTAGGAATGGCAACAGCCTAAACCAAAACCCTTAGCCTTCAGGACAGGGCGTCTCCAGCCTTCAGGACAGGGCGTCTCCTATTCTTATTCTCACCTTCCTCCCCACGAGCTGGTAACCTGTGAAGACAGGCATTGCCTGTCTGAGCAAAGGGCTCCAATGCACCTGGCTTGTCTTCCAGGCCCCAGCACTGGCCATTGACAGTGGGCAAGCACCAAACCCCTGTTGGACTTGCAGCAGGTCTGAGAAGGTGGGAGAGCTGGTGAGGAGACAAGGCCTACCACTCATAGAGCCTGCTTCTGTAACCTTGACCTTAAAACAGCTCTTTGGCTGTTTCTATGATCCCCTGGGGATTCTCCCAGAGCCCTCACTTCAAAAAGCACCAGTCCCACTTCGATGCTTTTGCAGAAGTGAGGCTGAATAAGATTGTGACAAGCTCGAATCCCTTCCGTTCGTATCATCAACACCCTGCCAAGCACAAGAACAGCTCCTTTCTCCTCCCCACCTTAGGCCCGTTACCCCAGAGGCTGGAGTGCTGGGGAAGCCAGCAGTAAAAGGCCATCTGGGACACTGCTCCTCCAGCAGTGGTGTTCCACTGGAGGAAGAAGGGTTAGGGCCTGCAATTCCCTAAAGTGGCTGTCCTAATGGAGGTGGGTGAGGACACCACGGGCCTCTCTGGGAGCAGCAAGCTCAACGTCTTGCTTCTATAGGCCAAGGAGTGTCAGGAGGTGGAGCTAGGTCTCTGGGAAGTTTCTTCCCCCATCTCCCATCATGCACGTGGACAAAAGGGCTCAGCCCTAGAGAAGAGAACTTCCGGCGCATGCCTACCCTTGGGCAGAACCCACTTGCAATGTGGAGAGGGCTGTTTTTGGCTGGGTCAGGTTGCTCGATGAAGCTGAAGACAAATACACAGAAAAAAACTACATCAGAACTCGGGGCACAGACTCCCTGGAAGCCCTCCCACCCGGGAGGCTGTCCCGGGACCGCTGCTGGCAGAGGGGCTGGGAAAATGAAGGAGAAGCAGCAATGCTCCAGAGACCATCAGAGGACCTGGGCTGGAGGCTGCAATATATATATTTTTTGTCCTAGGAAAGATTTTGTCTGGATGCCCAGGTCATGATGTCAACCTGCTGACTCAGGGAAGTAAAATAAGGAGATGAGGCCAGATGAGCCCTAGAAATACCCAACTTTAGGGCTCTTTCCACCCTATGGATCAAGGGCAGTGTTCCCTAATGGCCACTGCATGGAGCAGTAAGATTACACATGCAAATGGGGAGGCCAGGCAGGCTGGCATTGCAGAGCAGCAGAATCTCCAACGTGGAAATGGGAGCTGACAATGGACAGAAAGTTTTGTTGGGAGAGACCAGGGGGAAACCAATGCAGCTTTTGTGTTTTGGAGTGGGACTGACTCCCAGTGGCTGAAGGGGGGAAGAAAAAGGATGTAACATGGCCCCCTGATGGGAGGGTAGGACCAGAGTGTTTATTACAGGGATGAGATGGTGTCTAGCAGGAGCCTCCAGGAAGCAGAGGTATGAGACGAAGGTCCCATTGAAGCAGCAGGTGCTCTCAGTGGGAGGGGAAAGTCACAGCTGGGATGTCGTGATTGTCTCTTAATAGAGATGACACGCCATGCCAGGAAATGGGCAGACGAGCCTGCAGCAATACCCAGAAGCTTGAGTTACCCACCTTCAAGGGGCTGTAACAGACTCAAGAAGATACGATTATTCTAACGAGGGCGGGCCACAGGACCCTGGAAGGACAGTCAGGAAATCCGCTTCTCACCCTGTCCCTGCCACTCATGGGCTGTGTGATCCTGAGCAAGTCACTTCATATTTTGGGGATTTCAGTCTCCTCCTGGCCAATAAGGAGACTGGCCGAGTTGGCCTTAGGGTCACCCTGTCATTGAGTAGTGGACTTTTGGTATCAGTGAGATTCCAAGTCCAACTTACAGTTCTGGGCTGAACTTGCCACTACGTCTCGCTGCTGAATCCGCACCCATTCAAAACCTTTGAGCAAGGAGAATCTTAAGGTGGTGTATTCTCCTGGGGAGAGAAGGGGGGGAGCATTAAAAGCCTTTAGAGCAGGGGCTAGGGGCTCTTTTGCTGCCGCTGGGGGCATCTTCTTGCTCCCTGGAGTGAGTGTCATTTGCCCGCCCTGCCTGCCCACCTCCCTCTCCGTTCCCTCTTCCTGTGGTTCCTCTCCTCTGTGCCTGTCCCCAACTCTCATCCTCAGCCAGCACTTGCACCTGCAGGGACACTGGTGAAAAGATGACTAATTCCTGTCTGCTGATGGGACATTTCCCAGGGCAGAGACAAGGTTAAGAAGCCACATTCCTGGACCATAGGAATGGCTGCAACCGGGGGTGGGGGGGGGTGGGGTTTGATTTGTTTCCTACTGAGGCGAGGACCCTCTCGAAAGTTCGAGGGGTAGGAGCCGGGCTCCATTGCTTCCCAGAGATGGATTTAGGTCTCCAGAGCCCCAAAGAACGGGGTGGCATGCTTGTTTGTGGGGGGGGGGCTGGAGTGGGGGGGGGGCAGGGGGTGGGCATCTGGGGAGAAGGACAAGAGCCTGGGCCGAGTGCTCCGCTCCATCGCGGGGCAGCTGGCTGCTGCTTTCAAAACTCTCGCCCTTTGCCCGCATTTCGTTCTGACGCTGGGGTTGTTCCCGGGGGCACAGAGCTGTTCTCCTTGGTTCCCGGAACTTCCCACCGCCGAGACACCCAGCCTCGGCCTCCCTCCCTCTAAAACTCCCTTTTGTCCCCCTTAAAAATAAATACAATAAAATAAACTATTTTTAAAAATTGAAAAAGAATTCCCCTTTGCTGAAGTACTGATCTCCGTGCAGGCATTGGGGAAGGGACTGGGTGTGACCGCTCTGTGCAAAGAAAACATACGTACGTGTGTCTTCATACACAATGTGTTTGAAAATGTGTAACATATAATGTAAATAATATACATTGATAATATATGATTAACCATATAGTTGATAACACATCTCTCAAAATCACATCACCCGGAGATAATCCTGTTAATGCTCTATGTTTCTAAGTCTGCCCCCCACGCTTTCACAGAAGTACAGCTCTGCATAAAGATCCACATGCGAGGGTACATATTTACCAGAGTAAAATCATACCCTACATCCACTTTTTGATTTTTTCACTTAACAGTATAACATGGATGCTATTCAAAGGGTGGGCTTTGTGGAGCTAGTTGGAGTGGGGGCTTCTTAAACGGGTAGGGCAGGGCCCCCCACCAGAGACTGTGACCCGCGTGCCCAGAGGTACCCTGGGGAGATGCCTATGGGGTGGGGGCACCTTTTTGCTGGCACTGTGAGCCACAGGCAAAATAGGCTTTAATGCTTCTCCGAGGGCCCAGTAACCGAGATGCCCTGCCTGCCCGCCCGCCCGCCCGCCCGCCCGCAAACGGCCGGCCCCCCGAGAGCCCCATGGCTGGCGCTCGGAACCCACGCCTTCCCTTCGCAAGTCCCGTTGGCTAGAGAACGGGGCTGTGGGTCACGGCGGAGCTTACCTCCGCTGCACGGAGGGAACTTGTACAGTCCCTTGGGAGCAGCTTTTCCGTCCTTGAACACCATCCCCTTGTGCTGCAAGTAAGAGCGGACTGCCCTCCAGACACAAAACCTGTGAGAAGAATGGCTTCCGGTCACAGGGAGAAAGCTACCAGCGAGGGGCCTGCAACACAGAGCGCGGGGAGCCGGGGAGCTGGGCGTCCCGCAGGCGAAAGAGGGGCCCTGCCTGGCTCCAGCCAGATCCCGGGATGGGCAGGGCGTGCGGGCTTCCTCCTGGGCCACCAGCGAATGGGGCCTGTGAAGAATCTGCCGCGCGCCCCCTGCTGTGCGCGCTTGAGCCCAGACTCTTGAGGTCCCCAGCCAGCCCAACCTGTTGCAGCCAGAGCATCTGACTGGCCTTCCTCCGACCCAACCACCCCTGGCTTCCATCCTGTCCCTTACTGAGGGCCTTGACCCCCTCACCTTCCCAACAGTCCCTTCCCTGGGTGAAACCTGGCTCCCCGCACGAACTTAGAGGCACAAACTCACTCCAACCTGCCAACTGCCGCACCCCCGAGATCCGCACCACGCTCTCCATCTCTTCCTCCTCGGCCACCAACCCCGTGCTCTCCCTCAGTCTGCTCTCAGATTGGTTGGACCCCTGGGAGGCTCCTCTTGGCTTTATTTTCTATTCTGCCTTGGCTCTGGTGGTCTTTACTGCTGGCCTCTTTCCTCCTCCCCAAGGCATACCCTTACCCAACCATGTTGGTTTCTCTGGTTCCACCTGCTAAGTGGGTCTCCCTGCTGTCACGGACCTCCCACTATGCCACAGATGCCTTCCGTAGGGTGTAAGAGAGACCGAGAGACCTGTTTTGTAATCCACTTACCAAGTGGTGCCACTTACCTAGGCATGCCCCTTAACCACTCTGAACCTCAGTTCCCTCATCTATAAAATAGGGATAATCATACTTGGCACCACCCACCTCAGAGGGTTGTTGGGAGGTTCGTCTGAGATAACAGAGGTGGACACAGTGTGCACAATATAAAACTCTCCATAAGGACGCAGGAAAGCGAGTAGAGAACCAGTTGCATGAGGATTAGCATCCAAAGCCTCCCGGAAGCACCCCTAGACAGGGATGGGCCCTGGCTGACTCTAGCCAGGGGGAGCATATCTTTCCCAGGGGCTTCTGGTCCTCTGGAAAGTGTCAGGACAAATTGTTGTTTAGTTGTGGTCAGCAGAAGTAGAATCAAGTCTAGAATTAAGTGCTAGGTAACAACTGGTGTTTAGAAGACTCAGCTGGTTGGTTATCTTAAACTTCGATTTTTGTTTCATTTCTTTCAACCCTGTATCAAATAATTTATCTTAGGGATTTAAAACAACAAAGGCTGGTGATTGGCAAGCAACCTTTACACTTCTACATTAAGGAAGTTAACTTATTATTATTATTTATGGGAGAGGAAGCCCCCTTAGAACTGGAATCACAGTAATAATCTAAAACATCCCAAATCGCCTGGCCTGGGACTCTTTCAGCCAGTTGTCCTGTGGTCACTGTCACCCAGGGCACCGCCATTCATCACGTGGAAGGTGTGAGCCTGAGCCACAATGGACCACAGGCATGAATGACCGACTGGGAGGATGTGGGTGAGTCTCTCAGCCCACACCTTGACAGGACAGGTAGGAACTCGCCCTGAGGATGTTCTCTTTGCTTCGGTTTTGCTTGTGGCCTTCGCAATTTCCTGACCATGCTGTAGGTTTGAGTTGCTTGTCACATGTTGCTACTTTCACATTTGGAGACAAGACAAAAACCTGAATTTCTAGCTCCTCTTGAAAACAGAAATACCTAGCAACTGTGCCCCTCCTGGGAGTTGTGGAATGTGGGCCTAACAGAGCAAAACTCTTCTGGCTAACTGCCCCCATGAGGGTCCTAGAACGCGAGCACAACTGTGTCAGCCTGGACAGAATTGCTCCCAATAGCTGTGGCCCACCGTCACCCTTAGGCGAGGAACCTGTGCCTAACGCCAACCAACATCCTTGTTTCAAGCCAACGCAGGGAGAGTTGGGAGCCAGGCGCTCTGATCCCCAGCCTTCCTTGGCCTTCTGTCCTCTGAATCTGTGTTCCGCGTGAGCGTGTCAGGGAGGAAGTGCAGTGAGGAGAAGAATACGCCAGCGTGGTTCCCATGAATATGGAGACTGGAAGAGAGAGCTACGGGAAGATGGAAAACTCTCTAGAAAGTCAAGTGTTTTCCCCACCTGGTGAGGGGAGAGGGGAGAGTTACCTTTTCCAGAAGTACATAATGATGGGGAAGAGAGACACGATAGCCCCGTGGAAGACGGTCCGATCTAGATGGCCCTCTGAAATGGCATTAAGGATGGAATCCTTCTGGGCCTCCGAGATGTTCACCTACCCATAGAGTGGGAGCCAGTCACTGGCAGGGGCTCCAGGGAAGGCCCCACAACCTTTAAGACCACCCCCTCCCCAGATCACAGAAGCTTCTGGTGGGGCTTTGGGTAAGGACATCCGGATGACCCAGGACTCAGGAGGTGCCTGACAATTAGCTTTGGGGGCTCTAGTGGGGAGCCCCCATGAGATGCTCCTTGGTACAGTGCCTGAGAGGAGTGGAAGTCCCCTTTACCTTTAGCTTTGGAGGGACCTCTGAATGCAGGTAGAGGCTTAAGATGATGGTAAGTTTCGCCCTCATCAGGGCCACATCATTCTCGCTGTAGGCCCGGTTGACTTGCATCACACGAGCTGAACTCACCAAATCGTTAAACCTGAAAGAGGCAGTCAAGAGGAGGTCAGCTCTTTGCTGGGAAAGCAGGGACTAATTGGTGCCGCCAGGCCAGACCTATTTCTGGCCTGATAAAGACAGGGTCAAATCCCAGGCTGGTTGTGACTTCATTCATTCCATCGTAATTCATCTATTGGCGAATACTGACCGAGTGCCTACCACAGGTCAGATAATATGCTAAGTGCTTCTCCAAGTGTATTTCTCCACCTCCAACCCCCTGATTTATCCCACCCTCCCTTCCTCACCCATCCTGGGTCTCTGAGTGCTTCGAGGGCTAAGGGCTCTCCTGTTCTTTTTGTCCCCGTATGTGTTGACCCTCTCACAATTACCACCATTCTCTGAAGCAACACATTCCTTTTATTAAATGTTTTTACCATCGCAAAGTATACATAACATAAAATGTACCAGTTTGGAAGTGTACGGCTCAGCGGCAGTAAGTCCGCATTCTTGTGTGATCCTCTCCATCATCACCTCCACAACTTTTTTCATGTGCCCAAACTAAAAATCCATTCCCATGAACCACTCATTCCCATTCCCCACCTCCCCCAGCCCCTGGCAGCGACCTTTGTACTTTCTGTCTCCTAGCAACATACTCTTTCAGGAGCTGTCAACTATTTGTCAGTTAGACCTTATCTTGATGAATGCACACAGCTGACTTCTCTCAGGCCAATGAAAAGCTTAACAATTGAAAGTCTTCCTAATAGTAGAACACCAGGTCTTCCCACATCCGTTCATGTGTTCAGTCATCAAACATTTATTAAGGGTTTCCTCCGTGCAGGGCACAGTTCCAGGAGCAGGGAGTGCAGCAGTGAACCAAGTCCAGCTGTCCAGGAGCTCACAGTCAAAGCGGGGAGAAGAGGCATCAGTCAATAGGAGAAGAGTGAAATATCCAGTAGAGGCTGGAAGACGACAAACAGGCAGATGGAATCGGGAAGGGGGCGGGCGCTGAGACGACCAATGAGAAAGGAGAGAGTCGTCTGAAGCCAGCTCGGTGGGCGGGGAGAGCCGAGGACAGAGCCTCAGAGGTGCAGGAGTTGAGCTCCGAGATGCAGGTTGGTCCTGCTCCTGTAGACAGTGGGGGGAAGTTTGGACCTTGATTCCGGTGGGAAGGGAAGCCGCTGGGACGTTCGTTTCAGGCAGGAGAGTGCTTTAATCTGGCAGACATTGTTAAAAGGCTCCCCGGGCAGCTGTTCGGAGAACGGTTTGTCGGAGCCAGTGAGAAAGTGGCGACGACGGTGACAGAACTGGAGCAGCAGTGGGAGGCGCGTCACCCCAACTGGTGTTCCTTCCTGTTCCCCACCCGCCCCCTCCTTACACCGTTTAAAAAACAAAATCTCACCAACCCCTCCTCACTCTTCAAAATTCAGCTTAGGTGACCTGTCTCCCGAGAAACCACACCTGAGCACCCAGCACCCCACTTCCTACCTTTCTTTGTGTCTTTTCTGCCATCCCCATTTCACTGGGATCTTGGAGGATAGAGAGCATGTCCAACTGGCATTTTTATATGTCCAGTGCTAAAGCCAGTGCCAGGAATAATCAAACTATCCGTAGTGTTTGTGGACCTGAGCTAAGTCCCTCACTGACGGGCCCAGGAAAGCTCTCCACCCCAGCTGAAGTGCTGAGTGGCCAGGGTCCTGCACCTTCCGAGACACGCACCGGCAAGGTGGCTGTCTGCACTGGGGGCGCCTGCCTCAGCCCACGCTCACGTGTGTCCAGCTCGCTGAAGCAGACGTTTAACCGGGAGTTCTTCATGTTTCCTCCCCCGATATTTCTGTCTGCTGTACTTGTTACTGTAATTCGTAATTTATGAAAACTAACAAAATACAAACAAGAAAATAAAGGTGTGTGTTGGTTCTGTGAAAACAAGTTGGAATGCTTTGGAACATTCCAATAAAGGCAAGTTGCTTTTTCAAAAACTGTTACTGAGTTAGGTGGGGCGAGGCAATTTCAAACATTGCGAAGACAAGTATAAAAATCCAGGACGATTAAGTTGGTTTGCAGTAACCTTTAAGTTCTCGCCCCACATGAACGAGAGAAAAATTGGAACTAGAAGATAGCATTACAGGGCTAACACGTACAAGAAATACATGTGGACCCCCAATTAAGAGAATGGCTTTGGCTTTACATCAAAAGTTTGACAGGTGAGTGAATGTACATTAATGTTTTAACTTAAAAATACCTGTTTAATGGCATGCCTGCACACACACACACACACACACACACACACACACACACACACGGTTGCTGTAATTCCTTGCTTTAACCGAAGGACTATGGGTCCAACGGGGCTACAGAAGAGGATTTCTACCGTATGAATAAATAAATGAGCAAGCGAGTTCCCCGTCCTGGGTAGGAGTAAGTGTGTTTTGATATTGGGAGCTCTGGAACCATGAAGAAGAGCTTTTGGGGCTCAGGGGACAGAACGCTGGAGGCTGACGCAGTGACAGCATGCGGTGAGCTTTTCCAACGCCACTGCACCACTTCCAGGCCACCCCTGCCTCGGCCCGGAGGTGCTAAGTGTGGAAAGCCATGGGGCGAAGGCGAGATGAGCGACTTACTTCTGAATTTCAGAAAAGAAATATAAATCATTCATGGCAAAGTTGACGGTGATAATCCTGTGGCCAAATATGCGGCGTTTCACGAGGGGCATGTCTCCATTCTCGTCTGCACTCCGGATGTTTGGGTGGTGTGGGGGTGGGCGTCCCGGTGTGTCTTTGGGTAGCGGAGAGATATCTGAGGGAGAAAGAGGGAGGAATTAGCAATCTGGCTTGAGCAAGGTACTCTTACACGGGAAGCCACCAATCTGGGCACACCTAAAATGAACAAAGGAAACTGTGGACCCACCTTTGGGCCCATCAAAATAGTGATTCCCTCCCACGGGCTTGGCCTTTTGCTTGGATTTGAAGGACTTCTGGAAAAGCCCACTGCTCAGATGCTATGACACCGTCCACACCAAGGAAAACAAATCAGCTGTCTATTGAAATGTGTCTTCCTGGTGCTTGTCTAGTAGGACAGAAGCATGCCGTAGTTATGCCAACCCCTAACATTTCTGCAGGAATTAATATGCAGAGGTGACCTTCAAAATAGAGGATGTGATTCTAGTGGTGCTTCTTCAAGGTTTATCAGGGATGTAAACTGGGAAAGCAGTGCTAAGAAAAAGCCAGAAAATGAAGAGTAAACAAGTTAATTAAGACACAGAGGGTAGGAAGCTAGAGTAGAAAAGGGATGGGAATGAGTAAAGAGGAGCATAGAAAATTCTAGGAGGTTTGGGTTGTGTCTCAGAAATCTAAGACAGTTGTTTTAGAAAATTTCTCGACTAAGGTATAGTCAAAGCAATTCATTCATCGGGCTTCAGGGCTGAGACGAGAACAATTTTGGGCTGGATCTGACAAGTATACACTAGCTCATTGCCTGGCTGGGTTTAAGCAACTGTGTAATCCAGTTCTAGAATTTTCGATTCCTCCCATAAATCCTTTATTCTGGATATCTGGTTAGGGTTCATTGATGTGGGCATGGTGCTCTCTACAGTGCGGATGGGATCCCTTTTGACGGGAGGGTAACTGCAACATTCGATGAACACCTAGCACCTGTGGGGTCCCAGACCCTGTGCTAGTCCTAGGGTTACACAGCAGCATAAGGCCCCTCCTGACTATCTGACAGTCTCTACTTATCTGTGAGACTTGAGTTGGAAGGTGAAAAAAACCCGTCCAAATAACAGTGAACATTGATATGATAGGGATTTTAGGAAAGAGGGTGCTAAACCCACCCAAGAAATCTAGACGGAGTGATATGTTTATAAATCTCCTCTGATACGGGTGAGGGAGGCCTGATTTGTATCATTTGCCAATTTCTAGAGCAAATGCTTCCACCATGATTGATTTCAAACCATTAAATGGTATGTCAACTGGCTTATAAAATACCTGAATGTTTAACAATTGCCTCTCAGTTGGGCTAAAGTCATCAGGGTGGACTTTCTTTTCTTTTTTTTTAAGAAAGACCCATTCATATGCTGGCTACCGGAATTAGGGCCTCCCTGTTATTATCACTGGGATCACTCATCACAATGATGCCATAACAGCAACAGTGCTGGCTAACCCATTTGCAGCACTTACTATTGCCAGGAGCAGTTCTCAGAGGCTTTATATATATATTAACTTGCTTAATCTTCACAACGTCTCTATGAGACGGGCACATTTATTTCCACTCTACGGATGCGGAAACTGAGGCACTGATGTACTTTCACAAGGTCCTTCAGTTACAAAGTGCCAGACTCACCCCCAGAAAATCTGGCTCCAACAGCTGTGGCTCTTATTCTCTGCCTTTCCCGCAAAATGGGAGGTGCCTCAAAAGCCAGCCTTACGCTGCATGTTCACTACTGTGTCACCGGCACCCTGCAAAGTGCCCGCCACATCCTCAAAAAGTGTGCTGAATGAGTGAACGAAATAATTTCATAAGTCTCTCCTACAACTAAACAACATAAGGAAATCCTTTTGTAAAGATCTGCCCTGGCTGGTGTAGCTCAGCTGGTTGGTGATGCTCACTCAGCTGAGCCTCATCCCATAAACCGAAAGGTCATGGGTTCAGTCCCCCAGTCAGGGCTGGTATGAAAGGCTACCAGTTGATGTCTCCCTCTCACATCCATGGTTTCTCTCCCTCCCTCTCTCTCTCCCTCCTTCCCCCTCTCTTTAAAATCAATAAGCGTGTCCTCAGATGAGGGTAAAAAAAAAAGTGAGGTCTCGCACTGCTTTGGACTGGCCATTGTCCACCCTCTCTAGGCAGGCCTGGGCTTCTTTGCTGGATCCCAGGCTGATGCAGGCGTGAATGACAGAGAGTCACAGCCCTGCAGTTTGTTACCTGGGCTAGCCCTGCTGCTGAAATGTCAACAGGGAAGGGGAGGAAATAGAGACATGACTTACTTTCCTTGCTGTTGTTTATTTCCATGTGAAGAAATTCTTCAAATTCTGGACGTATGCTGGCATCAGACATAAATCTGCGGTACTTGCAAAAGCTCTTGATAAAGCTGACCATTTTTCGCCAGCATTTTTTCTGAGGAAAGAGAGAGGGGCATGACATATTCTTTAGCACTGCTGCTGTTCACCGAGAGTCAACTACTTGCCTGAACTTGACATTTGCTACATGCAATCATCACAATACCTGCTTTAAAAGGAATCATTTTTTGTAATCCCCACCCAAAGATATATGTATTGATTTTAGAGAGATAGGAAGTGGGGGGAGATAGAGAGAGAAAGAGAGAGACATTAATGTGAGACAGAAGCGTTGAATGGTTGCCTCCTGTACATGCCCCTACTGGGGATTGAACTCTCAGCCTAGCTACGTGCTCTGACCAGAGATTGAACCCAGAGCCTTTGGGTGTATGGGACAAATGCTCCAACCAGTTAAGCCACCCAGCCAGGGCTAAAAGGAATAATTCTAAGTTCCAATGTAAAGCACAGGAAACTCAGGTCAGAGAACTGCTTATAACCTTCCCCAGATTAAGCAGCTGCTGGATGGAAGATTCCAGCTTCATCCAGGTGTATCTGAGGCCACAGGCAATGCTCTTTCCACTACAGCTTTTCAACAGTGAGGATCTGAGATGCAGTGATTAGGAGGGGAGGTGTGAGAGCTACAAACAGGAAGAAACAGTGCACAGAGAAGAGCATGACTCACATGGGAGAAATGGCTCAGGCAGATTTTGAAATGTTGAGGAAATAAGGAAATGAATAAAATTATTTCTAAGCAATCACGAATGAAAAATATTAGATGCACACACTCATATAGCGCATGCACATGCACATACACATGCAAATTCATTTTATGAGTTTCTCCATCCATTTCCTTATGACATCGAGTGACCCTTCTCCAGTTCATTTGCCCCTTGAGAAACTGATGCTGAGAGCCAGAAAGCATCTGGTCGATCTAGGTTTGTTGTCTCCTTCTGCAGACAGGGAACCTCAGCAGAAGCATGGCTCCTGAGAGCCAGTGGTGAAGTGCAAAAACCAGTGGATTCAGGATCAAAAACTTTAACCATGGAGCCTGGCTTCCCTCTAATTGTGTAGTTTGGGTCAATTTAACTGGTGTGTCCATGTCTCCATGTGTAAGACAGAAACCAGAGCTGCCCTGCTTGTGGCGAGGCTTAGGGATGATATGTGAAAACCCAAACCAGTGCTCGGCACAAAGTAGGCGTATGCACACATTGGCTTCTCCATATCTTTTTTCTTACCTATCTAAGAAGAACAGAAAGACCTGAAGTTAAAACAAAGCGTCTGGTTCTGGGTGCAGTATTCTTTCCAGTGTCCTACCTGTTCATTCCTGGTACCTTGACATGGAGTTGATTCATGCGTGAAGGAAATGAAAAGGAGGAAGGCTGGGAAAGCCCATGTTTATATCTGGAGTGTTGGGCCAGTTGGGCATAGGTGTTATTCTCAGACATACCTGTGCGTGGTCTTTGGGGTCAGAGCCGGGCTCGAATTTTTCTGATACAAACTAACCTCATAATACATTGAGCGAGTGGTTATTTAAGAGATTATTTGACATACTCTGCATTTTTTCTCCAACCCTACAAAGACTTTTCTGAATGAAAAACCCATCTTCTCTTCTTCCCTTTTTATCTCCTCCAACGGGAGAAAGACTTGGGTAAGGTGACCGATGAGTTTGGAAGAAGGAGGCAATACTCCCCGTCTGTGTCCTGCCCTTTGTCTTCTCTCTCTGGGGGGTGCTCGCCTGCCGGACACACGTTAGGGTCTCCCCCACCCCATCCAGGAAGGGGCTCACCTGGGTAAGTGGGGAACCAGCTCATTCCATGATGCCATAGAAACTGGATGATTAAATTTAATTTGGGTGCAGTGAGAAGATTATCATACTCATTTGGCTTATGGTCAATCCATGACCTTGAGTAGCTTTCAGCAATAGAATAGTATGGAATGCAATGCAATGCAATGCAATAGAATAGAAATGAATGAAATAAAATAAAATAAAATAAAATTTTAAAAACCCTGACATCTTGACCTCCATGGGTCCCTGTAACTGTCACAAAGAGAGTAAAGAGAGGGGCTTCCTTAAATTCCCACTGTAACAACTTCTCTGAGACTCGGATTCCTCCTTTGTCAAATGGGGTTTCAAAAACCTACCCCAAGGGTAGTTGTTTTAGTGATTGAAATAGCTAACAGTGAAACTCTTTTTTATGGTGGGCGACACCCAGGCAGTGATTTTCTGGCCCCCAGTGTCTTGTCTTCACTGGCTTCCTCACTGACCTGGGACGTATGTAGTTGGGTTGCTGTCGGCTTCGAGGGCTTCCTGGGCAAAGTTCGTACTTTGGCTTGCACTTCTTGAGGAAAAATTGGGAACAGGTCTTGGTATTCTTTAAACCTGCCAGATGGAGGCCAAGAATGTCAAAGAAGGCCAAAGTCTGCCACATCCAAGCAACAGTCAAGGCAAACCTACCTCTCCTTTGGAGCAAGTGGAACTTGGATAACGTTGAGATACTCAAAAATATTCTTACCGTTTCAATCCTTTGCTAATGTCAGCCTGTCCTTCCCAATTGTACTAGGTTGCTCCTTGTTCAGGCAAACAAACAACAGTGTGTGTGTGTAAGAGTGTGTGTGTGGCAGGTAGGTGGGTAGGAAGAGGGTTCAGGATGTGCCTGGCTCTTCTTTTGTAGGGAGGCTGTGACAGTAAACTCCGGGAGTGGATTATGAGACTCCTTGAGTCATGTGGCTCTGAAGAACCAATGAGTGGCTCCCAAAAGGCTCACCACCTTCACCAAACAATACTCACCACTTTTCTTCCAGAGATTTCATGACATAGCCCTGGAGTGTTAACAACGGGACTGTGCTGACACGATGCATCTGAGAAATGTCTCTGATGATGGGCGCATCACACTGCAGCATTTCTTCTAGAAAATGTCAGAGGGAGGCAGGGAGGGAGTGAGGGGGAGAAAGGGGGTGATGGAGACAGAGAGGGAAGCCATCATTTCCTTGTCTACCATTTCCAAGGTAGCTGGTGTTTTTTCATCTTAGAGTCTTATAGGTCCTTATTTGCAATCCGGTTGGACTCTGAGCTCTCCATAATTTGTTTGAAAATCTCATATGCATCTTTGGCATGTTATGTGCCAGTGTATTTGTAGAGCAAATACTGTCCTATCTACTCAAATGTCAGATGCGTGTGCAAGGGGAATAAATGTTTAAAAGACTCATTTCTGCAGCTAGTTTGAAGTTTTGGGTTTAGGAAGAGAGCAGAAGAATACAAGATTAAAGTTAACTGCTGGGACAGATGGAATTTCCAAGATTATAAATACGTACTGTAAGGGTAATAGGGTTTTTGTTCAAAGACTACGGTGTTCATCAATAAGAGTTGACAGCTTACCAAGGACAGTATCTGCTTACTCTTCTTTCTCTTCCAGTTCATTCAGAACAATGCACAGAACTTGAGATCCCTAGACTTAACTGGTATTTCTTACAAGATTTGTCAATTTTACCTCATTTTCTATTTTTATAAAGTCTATACCCTTATCTTGGTTTAAGCACAAGCAAACCACACACATAAACACCATCTGTTTATCTGTGTCAAAATAGGAGGCTTTATCTTCTTTACTTTGCTAGAGATTTGTTTACCTCCAAGGTGGATCAAGGTCACCCCCTTTCATTTGTCTCCAGACTTGGAGGTCAGTACTTCACATGCAACTTCTGCTTCTGGCCAAATCCATTTACCTGGGTCAGATTTACCCTCCCACCGCAGGCAAGAAAACGACACAAAATTTATGAGGATTTACAGGGAGTCAGTTCTGCTTCCTGGCACAGCTGCCTTTATAGCCTATGAGTGGTGGACACTCCTATTTTGCATACAGAAAACTCTCACTTTGGGATCTAACTCCAGTCTAGTGGATTTGAAGGTCAAACAACTTGAGTTTGAATTCAAGTTCCACCAGTTGGATAAGTTATCTCCTCTGTTTCATTTTCCTCATTAGTCAGGAAGAGCTATTGATCCCTACTTTATAGGGAATAAATAAAGTCCTATTTTCAGGGTTGAATACAATCAAACAAGAGTATGTATTTCACATATAAGGGCACGTGTCTTGCACTTGGCTTCTTTTACTAGTAATATGTTTTGGATGTGTTATTGTTCTCTGCTTTCACAGTCCCTCTGTCTCCCTCTGTCTCTGTGTGGCTGCTCCCTCGCTAGGCTCTCTCAGGAGGACTCACTTAAGACGGGCTCTTTTCCAGGCTCTTCTAAGATACGAAAGGAAGAAGCAAGCAGTATCAAGAAAAAAGGCTGCATACCAGGAGGGATTTTGCCATAGAAGAAGGTCTTCATTATATTTTCGACGATAGGTTTGCAAACCGTTTCATCTGTCTCAAGACTCATCTTCTGGACAGCCATCAGGAACTGCAGTGGGCTTTCGGCCTTCCGTTCTTTGAGGAACTCCATGAAGAAATCCACCTGCTGTGGGTTGAGGAGGACTTCTGTCAAGTTTCTGGAAAACATGAAAGCATCATGGGTGGAGAGAATGGGATGGTGACCCTGGATTCTGCTCCAGTCAGGGAGTGGGCTAACTTCTCCCAGGCTGTGGGGCCTTTTACCATGTGTGAGGATCAGGGTGAATGAATTGGTTACTCTGTTTCTTTGGAGATAAATTTTTATGTATCCATCCTAAGATTGTCTCAATCATTTGACAACCCCAATGGAAAAGGAGGAGAGATATTTGAACGCAAATAATAGTTTTTCTAGGAAACCCTCTTTCTACATTATGGATTTAAAATAACCCCTAATGGGAAGTCACTTCAGTGAGGTGGAACATGAGTAATCTGCAGTTATTGATCAGTATTTCTAAATTTCCTCTGCTGATTTCTTTTTTCAGGATTTCTTAAATATAGGTGCTCCTGACGTTCCAGCCTCAGTCCTTATGATCTCCCCCACCTTGGGTAATCTGCCTCCTCCATGATTTCAATTTTTATTGATTTGAAGAAGTGGATTTAATGATCATAGATAATGGTGAAACTGTGTTTCTAGTTTACATGAGCTCCACTTTGAATTTTAGCCGCCCACTGAATGCCATCTTTGTGCCATAGCTATTTTTCAAACTTCTCTGCACACCTATGAGTTGTTCATCTTGTTCTTCCTCCTCTATATACCCAGTTCATTAACTATGATGTCAGCCATGAGTTTTATAGATATCTGTTATAAGGCTGAGACAGTTCCCTTCTATTCTAGTTGTACTGAAAACATTTTATCGTAAATGGGACTTGGGTTTGTACTGAGATAATCATGTGGAGTTCTCCTCTTATTTTATTAATATGGCATATTATATTAATTGATTTTTGGATATCAAATCGATCTTGCATCCTGGGATAAGTCCCACATGGACATACTATATATTCCTATGTGCATGTTGCTGGATTTGGTTTGCTAATGTTTTGTTCTGGGCAGAGCCCCCCCCAATATATTTTATTTTTTATTAATTTTTGTATTGTTGTTCAAGTACAGTTGTCTCCATTTTCCTCCTACCACTTCCCCCTACCCCAGCTATCCCTACCTCCCTCCCTTGATTCCACCCCACCCTGGGTTTGTCCATGTGTCTCTCATAGTTGTTCCTAAAAGCCCGTTCCCCTTTCCCCCTTCCCTCCCATTGTCCCCTCCCACCTCCCCTCTGGTTACTGTCAGTTTATTCTTAATTTCACTGTCTCTGATTATATTTTGCTTGCTTGTTTGTTCTGTTGATTAGGTTCCGCTTATAGGTGAGATCACATGGTAGTTGTCTTTCACAGCCTGGCTTATTTCACTTAGCATAATGCTCTCCAGTTCCATCCATGCTGTTCAAAGGGTAGGAACTCCTTCTTTCAGTTGCATGAAAGGGAGGAAAATCTCTCTATTTACTCATAGAAGAGAAAGGATTTATTGCCCCCTATGAATGTTAATAGTGACTGAAAATGTTCTTTTGGGAACTTTATGCAAATATTCTTCCAGTGACTTCTGACTACCAAATTTGTGTGTGCTAATACATCCTTATCCTCTAAGAGAGAACTTTCCATATAGCTAGTTATTAGGAGATAATTACTAAATTAACAAAAAAATAATGAATGAATAAATGGCATGGCTTACAAGAAAATTATAGTCAGGAAGGTAGAAAACATGCCTAAAAAAATAAAGAGCAGTACGAGACAGTCCATGGTAAGTACCTGGGGCTATATTTTAGTGTAGGGGACCGGTTTGTTTCAGTCTGGCAAATGTGACTCAGCTCTGTATGGAAAACTTACAGAAGCTAGGTGGTGGGCAGGAGCCAGACCTTCTAACTGAGTTTTCCCATGGGAATCAGGCCTAGAAAATGCATACTGACTGTTACGGCATGCTCTTGCTAAAACTCCATCACCCTGGTCTAAAACAACAAATGTGTATTGCCTATCTTCAAGGTAATTTCCAAAGCCTGTGTGAATTCTCCCAAGGACAGAGCTAATCAGCTCTCCACCTTTCCCTTCTGCATGTTATTTTCATTCCCTGGAATGTACCTAAAATGTAGACAATAATACTTTATGTAATAGATAATAAATCTTTCCTTGATGTATGACCCAAGAAAAACAATAAAAACCTGTCTAGGCAAGGGTCATGGTGCTCTCCTCTTGAGGGAGTGGCCATACTGTTCCCTTTTTCTCCACAGGATTGCTGTCGCCTGTGCATTTATTCTCGTCTTCAGTCACTACAGGTGGACACTGCTGGCCGGAGTCCACCACATTTTAGGGACTGAGTGTTTCAGAGGAGAGGGCCGTCATACATTTGGAGGACCTTTTGTGGAGAGGTGGCATTTGTACTAAGGCAAGTGGAATAAAGGGGAGTGGGCACTCCTGACAAAAGGGGCCACACAGTCCTTGCCTACTAGGGTAACCTTACCAGAGGCTGACTCTTGGATTGATTAAAGGGGCAGAGACATGCAGCAGGAACCAGTTAGGAGGACTGTGTACAGGAGAACACAATCCAGAAAACACAGAAATGTGAGGACCCTGCACACAGACATTTATTATGGCACTATTGATAGCAATAAAAATTGAAGATAATGTCAATGTCCATGAAAAGCATAGTTAAAGAAGTTGTGCTACACCCATGCTATGGAAGGAGGCAGACCTACACACATGGACATGAAAGGATGCCCATGATAATTTGTGGCAGACTCCGGCCAGCAGAGTCTGCCTGTTGTGACTAAGGATGAGAACAAATGCACAGGCGACAGCAATCCTGTGGAGAAAAGGGGGACGGCACGGCCACTCTCTCAAGGGGAGAGCTGCTTTGAGTGCCTCTGCCACTCTCGCAAGAGGAGAGAGCCCTGGCCCTCGCCTAGACAGACTTTTATTGTTTTTCTCTGGTTTTACATCAAAGAAGGATTTATTATCTATTACATAGAATATTGTTGTCTACATGTTAGGTGCATTCCAGGGAATGAAAACAACATGCAGAAGGGAAAGGTGGAGAGCTGATTAGCTCTGTCCTTGGGAGAATTCACACAGGCTTTGGAAATTACCTTGAAGATAGGCAATACATGTCTATTGTTTCAGACCAGGGTGATAGAGTTTTAGCAAGAGCATGCCGTAACAGTCAGTATGCATTTTCTAGGCCTGATTCCCATGGGAAAACTCGGTTTGAAGGTCTGGCCCCTGCCCACCACCTAGCTTCTGTAAGTTTTCCATACAGAGCTGAGTCACATTTGCCAGACCAAATCAAACTGGTCCCCTACAATAGTTGATGTTGAAAAAGTTATTGGATAATATATATTGCATGGTGCCAGGGGTAGAAAATAATGATTTAAAATACTAAGTATGCCGGTGCCTGTAGGTGTGATATATGGAAAAGAGTCTGGAAACCAACACTCAGAAAACTGCGGTCCTGTGGAACTCGGGGGCTGTGCCTGGCGGATGCTGCTGCAGCCAGATCTTACATCTCACCTGGGTCTCAGGGACGGCTTCCTTACAATGTTGGCCTTCTTCAAGAAGGAGATTTTCCTTTCTGTGGGTGAACGGATCTTCGGTTGTCTGAAAACTTGCACTGTAAGATCTAATAAAAAGTCACAAAGTCGGGCAACACCCCAAACATTGCAGAAAAGAGGAAGGGACAAAGGAGCAAGGACATTTCCCAGACACTGAGTGAAAACGCCAAGTCCCCACCGTCACTGCCCTCTCAGGCCACCGGTGCTGGGGATGCACAGGCTGTTTGTGCACGAGAGACTTGGGGACGATTTTACCCTGAAGCTAGTATTTGTCTGGGCTATGTTCTTTAAGTTAGCTATCAGGCCTAGGGCCCTCCTTCCTTAGAAGACTGCTGAGACCTAGTACGTCACACTTCTCCTTATTTGAACATCAAATGCACCGCACCCCCGATCAGCCATTTTGACCAGACCACACTCCACATGAAGGTCTCCCGGGCACCTCTGTTACCCCACCCTAAACCCTTCCACTTGCCCTCTGGAAGGCCTGCTTTGTGGTTGGCAAACGCTCACAGATTCTTACTAAGAGCCGCCCCGTCCTCACCTTCTTGCTTTAATAGAAACCATTCCCTCTCCTGAGGATGCTGCTTCCACAGCGAGCTTCTCAAGCGGCCCCCTGTCCCACCATACACAACCTGGCCTGGGTGTCTGTTCCCCTACTGCCATTTCAAAACCGTTCTTTCCAAACCTGTGTTCAAATATTACTGTTGAAGAATGACAGACTCCAAGAATTTTAGTACTCGAAGAGCCCTTTGAAGTGGTTAACACTGTAGAGAAAAACATTGGCTTTTTCAAGGGCAGGGATAGTATATTACGTGTCTCACCCCCCCCAGAAGTTAGAACGTGGCCTGGTTACAGTCAATCCTTTAAGCCATTTATTAAACAGAACATATCCCCCTACAGGACACTTTTGTGTGGTTGGTACTACTTTCAGTGACAGCTTACAAAAGGACTGAACACAGTAGACATACATACTGGATTTAATATGCAATTGAGTAGGTGAAAAAGTAAAACCCCGACTACGGAAGACCAGATATTGGGGAAAGAAGTCAAAAGAAACCCAAGAAACCTCCCAATAAAAGATACGTAGAAATGCTGGATAAAAAAATAATGCACTTTAAACTCATAAGAAGGTTTGTAAGAAATTAATACAACAAAACAAAAACGCTGGGATGCAAAGCGAAGAGAAGGTCACACCAGAAGGGGAAGCTGCCCCCCACACTTCAGCCGCCCTAGAGGCATCGGCAGTGTTAAAGCCTCCACAGGACAGAAGACAAAGCCACGGGCCCTTAGAAAATGGGCAAAAAAACCGTTTGTCACTGCTTTTACTTTCAATGCATTTGACAATTAAGACAATTGCTACTGGGAAATACAGCAAAGCTTTTTGGCAGACTCTCAGGACAGAAGATGGCAAATGCTACAAAGCATCAAAGGAGAGGAAGGCCTGAAAAGCACCCCAGGCTTTTAATTGGGACCCCTAAAAGTAAGGAGAACCAGAACTAGCTCATCCATCAAAGGAATGCAAGTTAGCTCTGAACCAGCTCTATCCCTTAATGGATTAAGGTTATCTGGGTGTGTCTAAAGGGTCAGTGTGTGTCTAAACTAAAAGCAACCCCCTCTGGAGGAAAAGAATGTCACCCAGAGCCTCAAATTATCTCTACAAATTTGTACCAACAATGTTCGCAAATAAAGCAGAAGTAACAAGGTACTTAAAAAGACAACCAGCCCTTGCTGGTGTGGCTCAGTGGTTGAGTGCTGGCCTGTGAACCATAGGGTCACTGGTTTGATTCCCAGTCGGGGCACATGCCTGGGTTGCGGGCTGGGTCCCCAGTAGGGGGTGCACGAGAGGCAACCACACATGGATGTTTCTCTCCCTCTCTTTTTCCCTCCTTCCCCTCTCTCTAAAAACAAATACATAAAATCTTTAAAAAATAAAAAATAAAAAGATGTCCAAAAACCAAGGAGAAAACATGACATTTGAAATAGACAAAGAAAATCCAAATATGGACTTTAAAATTACAATTATTAATTTGGATGAACTAATTAAAAGAGAAAATGTCAACATAGACTGAATATTACAAAAAGAAAAAACAGAAACTCTAAAAATAAAAAGTTTAATGAATGAAATGTAGAAAATTAAGAATTAATAAATGAGTAGAATGACAAATTATAGACATCTGAACTAAGAACTGTTGAAGCAGGGGTCAGAGCAGAAGAAAATATCCAGACTGAAACATACAGAGGATAATATGGAAAACACAGAATAAAGTGTGTGAGACACAGGGAATGTGGCTGAAATGTCAAAAATATGTGTAGTAAGATCATCAGAAGAAAGAGGAAACTAGAATGAAGCAGGACAAATATTTGAAGAGATAACAACTGACATTTTCCTAAAACTGGCAAAGGATATCAAGTCAGAAATGCAAAATGTTCTGAAACTCATTCTGAAACCAAAGGGTATTGCCTGACCCAAGGTTATGTCCTCCCTAGGGACAGCCACATGTCATAGGAGTCCATGCAGGTGTACAAAAGTCCCTTGACTCAGTGAGGGACAACTCTGAAGGGTCACCTGGCTTTCCAGCCTCCTAGGGGATCAGCGAGGCCCAGCACCACTGCCTGGCGGTTCAGCGTCTAGCCCCGCCCAGCTGTGCCTTCCTCATTCCCTCACAGGAGCTGTGCCTAAGCACACCCCTGAACCAACCTCTGACTCCAGGGGACGCCGCAGAAGATGCATCTGCATTATTTAACCCCCCACAGTAATACCCACACATGGAGGTGGGAATAAACCATTTTCATCCTCATTCATTTATAATGTCCTCTCATTTTCATGATGGCTTTGAAAGGAGGGGAAAAATAATGATGGTGAAGTCTGACCACCCCTCATTTCAAGCAAAGCCTGGTTCCTCTTCTGGCCTGTGGCCCTATTGAGATTCTTTCTTATCTGGCTGTCTCGAATCTAACTGAGCTTACACACTTACCTGTCTTAGGTGCTTTTTCACAATATATTTTGTAGTCATCGCTGATCTTCTGTATGGCCACCTTCGGATACTTATAGCAGAGCTCCTCAAAGGGCATTTTCTCTGTGTCTACCAAGCAGACAAAAACAGGAGAGAGTCCAGTGGACCACTCTGGGTTCAAAGATTCATACACTGTTGTTGAAGATATTGCCTTTGAAATGTCATTCATTTAAGTACGGCAATGGTGTTTTATAGGAATGTTCACACACAAGGAACATGAGTTCCCTCGGCCAATCGGAAGCAAGGCCGAAGGACCTCCTCCCCTCCAGGATGGGAGGGTTCCACCCTTCTCAGAGACACCTGACCCAAGGAGGGTTTTTCACCTCGTTACACACACATGTCCTGGAACTCTCCAGGGTAGTCTAGTGCTTTCTGACTTACACTGGTGGAGCCCAGAAGGGATCCTAAGGGGACTCACAAGTGCCAGCTGCCCTTAAGTCAAAGGCCATTGTCATCACTATCACCTCTCGGTCAGGGGTCCTGGCTGGACGGTGTAAGAGAAGTGGGCTATGTCTGCAAGGGATCCAGGTTTCTAGTCCTCGAGTGCTAAGCAAGCTGGGGCATCCTTTCCACCTCCCTGGCACTCCTGTTCTCTGTAGGAAAGCGGAGAGCATTCTAGTTCTGGCGCTCTGGACGCAGCCCGAGTGGAGGCGTCCACCTACCTGGCAGCCAGGGCCCCGGGATAATGCACAGGAAGCCCTGAGCGGGTCGGGTTGTGTTCCAGAGCAGCAGTGGTGGGTGAAGTAATCACGTGTACTGGGGGTGGGGGGCGTCTCCAGGGAGGGTGGTTCCCATTCTCCCCAGCCATTCCTGACATTCCACGGCCACTAAAGAAATGCCTGTCGCCGTGTATGTGTATGGTGCAATTTACCAGCTACCCTTTGTTCTGCTCCTCTCTTGATTTCTGGGAAGGGTTCTGCAGTGTTCGGGATTTGGAGAGGAGGTGGAACCCTGAGGTAGAACAGGAGGCTTGTGCGTGATAGATTTAGATAACTCATGTTCGGGGTGGCTCCGAGGGCCGTGCGTCTGAGGCATCTTGTTTCGTACCTGGGGTGCACTGTGCAATGTAAGCATTTCAAGAGTTGACTGTTACATTTTTTAATGTAATCGAGGACGTATTGCTTACTGAACACCTGTTTGCTGTGTAAATGCATTACCTCCAACCCTCTCAACAGCTCTGCAAAGTGGAGGCCATAGTCCCCCTTCTATAGAGGAGGACGTCAGAAGCAGGGACATACAGATTCGATTGCCTCAGCTCACGGAGACAAAGTAACTTGCCCAGGCTCACAGAGCAAGGAGTGGTGGGAACGAGTTTTCAAAGCCTTTGCTCACTCCTACTCTATCTGTGTTTTTCAAAGTGTAGGTCACCACTCACTAGTATGTCAAAAACAAAATAGAACACGACAGAGAATATTAGAGTCCATCCTTGGTTTGTGAAAATATTTTTCTGTCTATAGGCACACACACATATACTGAAGTCAAATGGATTTATTGTGCCTCCAACTTTGAGAAATACTGCCTTACTCTGACTGCCTCAGCATAGAAATTTAAAGCAATTTGTTCGATTTGAGTAATGATGGCTGACATTTATTGGACTTGAACTACTGCCAAACGTTGTGCTGAGAGCTTTCATAGATGACCACGGGTCATCTTCACAACAAGCCTATTATTATTCCCAGTTGACAGATGAGGAAACTGGGGCTTAAAGAGAGGTTAAATCCCTGCTCAAGTTTACAGAGATCAGGCTCGGACATGACCCCAGACCTGTTAGAGAGCCGAGCCTGGTGCTCCTTAGCACTTCTCCCCACCGCCTGGGTGGGCTGCGGCATTACGTTGGGGAAAGGAGGGCAGCTGTTAAAAACAGACCCACAGAGATGCGTCAGACTGGACTCTGGGGCAGGGTCTCTTGCCCTGTCTGTGTCTCAGTGACTCGGAACTCACCTCGGGTTCTTCTGAAGAGCAAATGAGGCCATCTTTGCCCCGCCTAGTGCTGACGCCCAGCACATGATCAGTAAGTGTTGCATATGAATATTTCCCAGTTGCCTACATGTAATGGCCAAAAAAAAAAAAAAAAAAAATTGGTGACTGCCCTCACCTGCCAGAACCACCGGAGACTGCAGCTCCACCCGGAGAGACCCGCCTTGCCTCAGGTCCTCGGAAGCCAGTTTGTGCCACTGCATAGAATCCATCTCTTCCATGTTAGCCAAGCCCTGGCTTAATGCCAGGGATTCCTCAAACCTCTTATAAAGAAGGATGTTCTCTTTTTTGCTTGTGGATTCTCTCTTACGCCACTTGGGGCTGAGGAACTTGGCCTGAGTCTGAGAGAAAGGGGGTGAGGGACAGACAGTATTTGCTACAGGGACGAGACGAGGAGCAAGATTTTTCAAACAGCCCAGTCCTCCTGTGTCTCCCTGTCACTCGGACTTAGGCTGAGGGTTTTCAGTTTGATGGGAACCATTGCTCCCTGACACACCAACCCCCTCTCTTTTCTTATCAGACCCACTTTCTAGAAGGGGGAGATTCCATGTGAAGGTGACTTCTTCAAAGTCAGCTTCTGCACCTGAGTCTTTTTCCTTGAGAGGCTTATGTTCAGAACATCAGGGATCATGTCGACCCCCCAGCTGCCTCAAGGGGGAAAAAAACCAGACTTTCATTTACTTTCACAAATAAAGCTTCTAAAAGAGCAGTTTCTCTCTTGTCTCCCCTCCACCTCTGGATCCCTCCCCAACTCAAAGCCCCTCCTACTGAGCAAGTGAGGAACCAGTAGTCCTCTTCATCCAGGAATTCATTGTACCAGCTGCTGAGAATCTGAAACCCAAACACGACAGAGCGTCAGGGGGTGGTGCTCAGCTCGCGGCATCTCCCCCACCAGTGCTTCCGTGGAAGAGAACAGGCTGCCACACCTGGACTCTCTAATTTGGAGACACAGTGGAACAGCAACCATCCGTCATGACCCATCAGGGGACAGTCCTTTGACTTCCTAAGTATGGCAGCTCACACAGCCTCTCTTTGAATCTCAGAGGATAGTAACCACCATTCACTTAATAAGAGGTACAACAAAGAGTTTACCAGGCAGTTGTTTGACGTCTCATATATCTTTGTATCTTTCCAAAATACTATCTCATTTGATTCACAAAATGGTCTTGAAAACCAACTATCTCCTTTCATAGTGTCTACTTTTAATATCTCCCACTTGAAGACCTTAGCCACTTGTGAAGACTATTTCATTATGTTGAAATAAGCAAACAAAGAAAACCCAGCAACAATAACATCGGAAATCTATGAGCTAGTGCTTAGCTGGGCTTGTACATCTATACTCCCACATTCATTCATGTATGTATTTGACAAATATAGTAGTTCTGGTAACTACTCCCTCTCCTCCACTCTTCAGGCCTAGGAGTGATGAAGGTGACCCACCCTTCTGGCCCTGGGGTCTCGCACTATCCTTGGTGGTTTACCTACCCTCAAGCCCTCTCCCTGGTAATCAGTCCCTTCTACCGGCTGCTCATTTGCTTCCCAACTGACTCTGCCTTTTGTTTTCTGCCAAGATCTTGACCACAGACTAGTCCAGCAATGGGCCTTACTTCCTGTGAGTCTTCAGGATGGTCTCCTGCTTTTATCTAAGGTTTTGGGATTGGCCATTTCCTTGATGGCTAATCTGGGAAAGAAAGACCCCGCATTTCAATGCATGATGTTCAGAACAGTTATTAAAACTTCCCTCAGTGACACACTCTGAGGTTCATGGTTTGGGGAGACTCCACATAAGGGGGAATTGAAGAAAGAATAAAAGGTAGATATTGACCACTCCCCTACTTCCATCCTACTTTGGAGTTTTGGCTGGTTCTTGGGAATTTGTACAGCCTACTCCTCTAAGGCTAACCAACTCTTCAATAGGTGAAGGGTTATATGGGTAATTATGTCATTAACTTAGTACAGATGACTAGGTAGGATTTTAGGTCAGTTGACCTAATCTTCCAGATACTGACCCATCACTGTAAAGTATGACCTACCTGGCAGATCTCCTCCTGGGCTCTGAGTATCCAGGGGTTCATATCCCCAGAAGGGAGCAGCTCCTTCAGGCCTTTGATGGTTTGGGATTTGAGTGGTAGGCACGGACCAATCTGCTCATTCAGGTACAGCTCACAGATTCGGTTGCCCAGCAAGTGCCAAAAGAAGGAGTTCCCAGTCTTCCTGTTAGTCATCTGGACACTGAGGAAATGGTGCAGGTCGTGCCAGAGGTCCAGGAGCCGGAGCTCTACTTTCAAATTCAGCTTCTTCAGATGGTCCCGGAAGGGGCCCCCTGCACAGGCATCAGCACACAAGGCCCAGTGGGTGTACCCCACGGAGAGTCTTTGCTTGATGGCCTTCTTGATTGTCATCCGGGGGTAGTGACTGATGATGGGGGTGAGAGTCCTCAGGTGGGCAGAGAACTTTGTCTCAAAGAGGCCTTCCATGTGGGGGCGGCTCTTGGCTATCTTCTTCATCTTGGACTTCTTGGCAGAGAGAATATCTTTTTCTAGGGATCTGGTTACTCTGTCGGTCAAAGAGATCTTTTTCTGGGAAGGCATTTGTGTAACCATCTCCTGAGGGCAGATCTCCTGGGAGAACATACAGTTGGTGTCTGGCTTGGTATCCAATTCTAGAGACCAAGAGGCATGACCTGTCAACCGCCACATCTTCCGTTTGGTCTTCCTGCTCGAGTACTGCTTCTGCAGGTGGTGGGAGTTCTTGATGCTCATGTTCACAGGGAGCTCTCCTTCATGGGTGCAGCAAATACTGCACAGGCGAGTCTCATATTCTTGCATCAGTCCCTGGCATGACTCCTCCTTAGCTATGATGGTCTTCGCATGGGTGTAAAAGTTGGGAAGCCAATAGCTCTGGATTTTGAACAGAGCCACTTTCTGCATGTTGCTCAAGATCTCCCTCCTGGTGGTTGACTGGTTGGGATGCCAGATGGAGAAGTTCAGGAAGGACTCTGGAAAGAAGACAGAGAGAAAATGATGTGGCATTGGTGAGATTTCAAAAATTTTTCCAAGTTTTTTTTTGTGTGAATGTAGAATTTCATTTGTTCCTCATGCAATCCAGGGGTGGGAACAGGCCAAATATAAGGTGGATATGTGTTTAGGGTTTGCTCAGCACAGTGACCCCTTTCTCTGATTACTTTCCTTCTTTCCCAAATAAAGAAGTCCTTCTATGGGATTCATCAGGTTATTTTTTAGACTGTTTCATGTTATTATAAAGGAAAGAAAAAGTCACATGAAAACATGTTTAAGAATGAGAGACGTGTACCTCTGAACAGGATTTCTCAGGGTGCACATCCGACAGGAGGAAAGTCTTTGGACTGGATAATTTGAAAAAGTCCTTACTAGCCCTGATTTTCATGCCATCAGTTCTCAATGATCTCTATGAATAAAGAGTAGTGTGACTAATCCCAAACAGCAAATCCACTGGAATGCATTTGTGTTTGGGTTAGGAATCCCTCCTCACTAAATACATACATACATACATACATATGTATATGTATATATGTACATACATACATATATACATAATAAAATGGATTAATCTGGGGTTCTAGAGAAGAGGTTGGCAGACTTTTTCTGCGAAGGACCAGCTACTAAACAGTTTAGGTTTTGTGGGCCACTTAGAGTCTCTATTGCACACTTGTCTTCTTTAACCCTTTAAAAATATGAAAACATTCTTAGCTCAAAGGCCATGTGTACTTCATTGGGCCTGTGGGCTGTAGTTTGTTCTAGAGAATCCCAATTAAAGAAAAGAAGACAAGCGCAGCAGGCTCAGAAGGTAGAGGAGCTGTTCAATTATCTGGTTCCAATTTCTCTTCACTCCATGCAGCCAACTGTCCCTGGCAAGTAACATCTCAGGAAGAGGCCCATACCAGCCTCAGGACAACTGATCTCTCTCATTCTGCTCCCCTCCCCACAGTGAATGGTTGGATTTCCCACTGGGGTCCCTGATACACGGAAGGTGGAAAGGGTGGCAGTCTGCAAAGCAGGAGACTAAGGACTATCAGACACCAGGCGGATGTTTTGGTCCCATCTCCCAGGGATTTCATTTCAGATACACTTCAGAGTTCTTACTGATGTTCATGTTGCAGAGAGCCACTACCCGTGAGCCCTCCCTAAGATGGGTGGCCTTCAGCACAAGGAGCAGAGATAGGTAGTAGTCTCTCAATTCCTGGTCCATCTCATCGATGCTCAGGATCTTCTCGGCAAGGATCCAGAAATCCACCAGCTCTTCACCTACAGAGCAGACAAGGGAGACACAGAGCTGCACCCCAAGCCTGCCCCTTTGGCGCTTACCTCTGGGTGTAGTAGCTGATACCCCCACCTCCAGCCTGCTCTACTGCCTCCAACATCACCATTAGCCACTCCTGTGGGTTAAAGCACCATCTCCAGAAGTGTCCTAATATGGGGGCAGATGGGATTCATGGGGAGAAGGGACTTAATGAATAGGGATCTTTTGTGACATTTTTATGGTTAGAAAGACTGTCACTTTAGGGAAATCTATAGGATGGATCAGAAGACATTTGAGTTTGATTCCAAAAATAAAGATCAGAGGGAAAAGAATATTTCCTGGACAACAGACCCAGAGTAGCCAGTAGCAAGACCCTGGGGCCAAAAGGTGTCAAAGGCTACATTCCCTGCTTCACAACTTTGCCAGAGCTGAAGTTGCTGTGACAGACAGCAATAATAGCCTGCCTAGTACTTTCCTCCCTGTTACCTGCAGATCCAAGATTCCACCCTTTAACTAGAGCTTGTCCCTGGGTAAAACTTAATGTCACTGAACTGAGTGTCAGCCAATGTCAGCTGGGCACCTCCCTGCACTCATCAACCGCTGGGACCCACAGGGCAGAAGTCAGTGCATCCCAACACTTTTGCTCCAGGGGTTTATTTATTTACTTGCTCCTTGTCTGCCTCCCCACCATTGTGGCAGCTTTAGGAAGGGGATTTATGGCTCTTGTTCACCTTGATACCTGAACTACCAGCACAGTGGCTGCCATACAGTGGTGCTCAATACCATTGTTGAATGAATGAATGAATGAATGATTGATTGAATCAATGAAAGGGACTCTGATTGTGTTTGCCCTAAACTAAACTCTGGACCCCAGTTTTTAAAGACTTTACCCAAACTGCATTAAAAATCATTTTTTTATATTCACCGTAGACATATGTAACTGTTGGTAAGAGCTCTAGGGTTCCCTGGAAGCTGTTAAGAACTTGCAAAGGCCCCAGGAAGAACTGCAAGGACCCACCTGCACTGCCCTTGAGGTAGGTACAGAAGCGCCACATCCCTCTGACCCCGCCAATGCATTTCTGGAGTAGCCACTGGTCTGCTCTTTTCCACTTCATCATGTGGGCTGCCAGGAGAAATTCATGGTGAGAGAGAGTGAGTGAGCTCTGACCCCGGCCCCTCTTCCAGGCTTGTGCATAGTCAGACCCCCATGTGCTCAGTATGGGTGAGAAGAAATGGTGGACGGGGAGATGAGTTGGGTCCTCACTGTGTGGTGCTTTTGCAACTTGGCACAAGACCCTCTAGGGACATGCATCAAGTGACACATGAGGGACCCACAAACACACATACAATCCAACATTGAAAGCATACTCCCACCAAGGTCCCTTGCCTTCTACGGTCCCCACATGACAGTGATTCTGTCAACCCAACTTTCCCAATACATACATTGCAGGAGAGATGAGCATAGTGGTGATTTTTTACAACATTTTACTCAGTGGATCCCCTAAATCTTAACCTTCCCCAGGAAAAACATGTTCGGTTACCTTTGGTTAGTTGAGCTGAGAGTAAAGTTATCAATTCAATCCTAGATGCAGATTTTATTCATTCATTCTTCCAACAAATATTTATTACATGTCTACTAAGTGCCAAGTACCAGCCCAGGTGTTTGGGATACACTAGCAAACAGAGCAAAAATCCCTGCCCTCAAGAAGCTTATATTCTAGTGAATGAGACAATGAACAATTAGTGTAATAAGTACATTACCTAGAGAGGCTGAAGGTTATAAGCACTACGGGAAAAAAATGAAAAAGTAGAGCAGGGTAAACAGGGTTGGGAATGCTAGGGCAGGGGTTGGATGAGTGGGCATTGTGGTCTTCATGGAGTAGGAAAGATCTTTACAGAGATTTTAGGAGGTGGAGAGATCCACTGTGGATATGGAGGAAGAGCGTTCCAGGCGGAGTGAAGAGCTAGTGCACAGCCTTGAAATGGGAATGTGGCCAGTATATTTGAGGGTCTGCAAGGAGGCCAGTGTGGTGGAAATGGAATGAGTGGGGAGGGGAGTAGGAAGAGATGAGGCCAGAAAGGAAATGAAATCAGGGCTCTGGGACCTTGAAGGCAAGCAACATTGGATTTCACACTCGGAAAGAAGCCATTGGTGCGGCGGTTGGGGATAGCCAACTGGGGAGTGACATGGTCTGAATTCAATGTTTAAGGCCTCACCCTGGCTGCTATGAGCAGCAGAACAAGAGCAGAAACAAGGTGCCCAAAATGATTTCCGTGGCCAGGTTAGAAATGATGGTGGCTTAGACCACGTGGTAGCAATGACGGTGGAGAGATGTGTTTGATTCTGAATATATTTCAGACAATTTTGTCATTAACTCTCTCATTTGTGGATGCAGTGAGACAAAGAGCCCAGCCCATTTGACTTCTGCTTATTGCTCTAGGTACCAATTTCCCAGGCTAAGATCTCACCTATTGCCACACAACACAGGCTGAGCCACCTGCACAGCTAAGGCTGCAGAGGTGGCTGCTATTTGTACCTTACTGTAGGGCTAACAGGCACAGCACCACTATGCAGCCTGGCTTTCCACATTTCCCCACATGTATACCCCGATGCTTACCTCCTTCTGGGGAATTAATGAAACTGATGAGCTCTTGACAGAGAATGTAATGGAAACACAAGTTGGTTTTACAGAAGAAAGGCAACCGGTATTTTCCCAGCCAGGTCAAAAATCCTGTGTACTTTGAAATCTAGAGTCCAAACAAAATATGAACAGAAAAGAGAAATGGAACCGAACTGCTAAGAAATGCAGTTTAGCAAGGGCAACATATAACCTCACACTTGCCACATCTGGTCCAGGGGAGAGGCGTGTTGACTAAAAATAGAACCTGAGGGGACTGGAGACTTGGGCTGAGGTTCCCAAATGAGTGAAAGGATTGGTAGGAAAGAAAAGGCTTGGGCTTTCGTAAAAAAAAAAGATCTTCCTTATATCTGGGTGAAGTTGTTTTTAAAAAGATCTAAGTCTTGCTTGTAGAAGAGAAGCAAAAAGGACTTTGGTCTGCGGTGCTGAGTCATAACCCTACTCAACTTGCTTCTTTGTAAATGCACTTATAATTTTGCACAGGCTCCCAGCCCATGCAACTACACAACATGTACAAAAACACACACAGACTCACACGTGGCATCATTTAAAGTATGGGATGGATCCCTGAGAGATCGAGCCACCGGAGAAGCGAGGAAAAAACTAAAATGTGTAAGTTTCGGAGTTCTGCTAGGAACACCAAATATAAGAATCAGAGTGGTGAGTCTCTCTGAGTTCTCCAGATCCCAGAGAAAACGGAACCTCGTTGTGAGCAGGGCTTAGCATGGTCTTTCTGGTCCCACCTGCTGCTGGGAGGGCACATGGAAGCCACTGGCAAGTCTAAGGTCAACACAGTGGAAAAGGGTGACAGGAAGGGGGTGGGGAGAAAAAGACAAAGGACAAGGGCAAGGAAGAAAGACATAAAGAGGAAGACAATCTCTGGAGGAGAGGGGTCAAGCAATAACTAGGAATTACAGAGTGGCATCTTACCTTGAGCTACACCTTATGATGCAAATAATTACTATGTGGCCCACGAGGGCTGTGACTCCCTTTCCCAAACCCATGGCAGGCATTGCCAATCAATTCCCAGACTCCTCCGGCTCAGGTGTGGCCTCAGTGCTCTTCGCAATGTAGTGCTTCAAGCATCCACTACCCAACAGGCACAGGGAGCATGAGAGGTGAATCCCATTTGCCACCCAAGGATTAGAATATAAAGGAAAGAACTCGCCAGCATCTCTTGCCCAAGTGGTAAGGATGCATGAAGGAGAAATGTCTACCTGGCTTGACACTGCTCTACCCGCCTGCTCTATAGTTTCTCCCTCTGGGTTTCCCAATCACACTTCCAGTTCAGCTTCCTCTTCCCCCACTCCAAGCCCTTAGCCACTGAAGTAAGACCCTCACTCACCAAGTCATGAGGGATTTCTGGCCACAAGCCCCACTCTGCATTTTCAACTGTGTAAAAAGGTGTCTGGCCAAAGACCTGCAAAAGAAAGCCAGGAGACAGCCAAAGGGGTAGAGCTTCTCTTCATGAACACATCACGGTCCGTCTGCAGCCACAGGCGCAGAGAGGGTCCATTGCTTTCCTACTTCCGGGGACATTCATTCTTAAATGTATTTCACTGAATCAACTTTTCCTTGCACAAAAATACCCAAAGTAGACTAAATTGCAAGATTTGTTTATCTTTGACTCTTCCCTGCCCCAACCTGGGAATTAGTATCTTGCCTGTGTGCAAAGCACTTGATGTTAAAAGGTGTTGAGTTTTGTGTATCTTGTGTATTTATTGGCTAAAACAGAGACCTAACCCTTTCATAAAGAGAAGCCACTTTGGAATGGCCTGAACTCAAGCTGGAGAAAGTAGAGAGGACCGAGGCTATGAAGATTGGGGGTGTAAGTTACTTATGGGGGCATTGAGTGTCCAAAATCGATAGATAATTCTAGGCTACTGTGGCCTTTTGTTGTGGAGCTGTGACTGTGACCTAGGCAACTGGCTCTGAGATGGATGGGATAGGGCTTCTGTGCTGAGCTCAGCAGTCTCACCACAGGCAGCGAAAATGTCTCAAAGTGTCCCCAGAGTATTTGTGATAAACTGGAAGGACAGAAGCCCCACTTCCGGCTGAGCTCTCAGCACATCATGTCTGTCTGCCCATCTCCCCAAGACTAGCGGTCCCAAACTTTTGTCCATCTGTGGCCCCTCCTCCTCTCCCCTTTGTCCCCGAGGGGCTGTGAGGTGTCAGAGGGAGGTGACACGCTGCCTGCACTGCACAAATCTCAGTCTACAAGAGAGACTCTGCCCTCGGGGAGCCCTCCTCGCTCTGCACCAGTGTGCGACACAGCAGCACGCCCTGCCTGGGGTGCGAAGCTACCTTTATGGGATGTGCAGTGGGACCACGGAGCCGTGAGAGCACGTGGGAGGAATGTGTGGGAGCAGTGTCACCACGTGACAGTTGTACCCAGAGCCACAGACCTGGTCATCCCCATGTGACCTCAGGCAGGTCAGTTAACGTCTCCGATCTATCTGTCAGAAGCAAATGATGGGGACCTCACAGGGCAGTTTACTTAGAAATGGGCACAATGACAGCCGTGCTCAACACCAAACACCACTGTCTCTCTACATAGGACACAGCTACCTACCCAGCCAGGACTTTCTTATATTCTTGGCTGCGATTCCACTTCCCACGTCACTCTCCCCATTTCTAGAACATTACTGTGGGCTTCTTAAATTCCAGAACTCACTAACTAAAATGTCTTAAGGCTACTTCTGGGACCTTTCATTAAGACACTGGCAGAGGCAAGAGAATGAGTGAGAATTGCCCAGAAGAGCTGCTCCCAGAGGCCCCTTCCTCCTTCCTCTTTGTTCCGTGTGCTGGGTGGCATCCCCATCCACCGGGCATCCAAGCCTGTGACCCCAGCTCCTCCCTCTCTTACCACCGCTCCCCGACATTCAACAGTGTCAACGTCCTGCATTTTGCTTTGTAAAAAATCTCTCTGTCTTATCCCTTTGCCTTTCGATCCTTAACCCCTCCCACCTGTGCTGTTGAGAGCATCTCCTGACTGGTCTCCCTGCCTCCACCATGGTCCCGACAGCCCTACCCACTCCCAGATTTCTGCAGAAATAATTGTCTCAAAGGAAAGTCTGAGGTTGTCACTCTGTTGCTTATTACCCCTTTAATGGCTCTCCGTGGCCTTCAGGATGATGTCCACACTGCTGAGCTACTTGGCCCAGTGGGGCTGCCTTAGCTCTTCCTCTCACAACACCCTCCCCCCAATTCTCAAATACCACATCTTCTTTCAAGACTTGGCCTGTGTCACCTCTTCTCGGGAGCTTTTCCTGACTCTTTCAAGTAGGAGCAGTCTCTCCCTCCTTGTACCCCACTGTCTCCTAGAGACTTCTACCATGTCATGCACCTTCAGTCTCTCCCATTAGACTGGGAATTCCTTGAGGATAGAGATGGTACCATTAATTACCTGTGTACCAGCATTAAGCCCATTGTCTGGCCAAAGTGACCACCCAAGAAGTCTTTGTGGGGTAACACAGAGTGCTTTTTCCCAGTTAAAGTTTCACCTTTTGATGGATGGCATTCCACAGGAAGGAGTGCACTGAGGTGAGCCACAGCTTATAAGGCACCAGGGTTACGATATAGCTGAAGATGTCAACCGAAAGGGAGGCAGGATTAGTCTAGGTTTGGGTGTAAGAATATTTTGATGGCCCTGACCAGTGCAGCTCAGTTGGCTGGGCATCATTCTGCCAAGCAAGAGGTCGCCAGTTTGATTCCTGGTCAGGGCACATGCCTGGGTTGCGGGTCAGTCCCTGGTCAGGGGCATGTGCGTGAGGCAGTTGATCAGTGCTTTTCTATCATATCAATGTTTCTCTCCCTCTCTTTCTCCTTCCCCTCCCCTCTCTTTAAAAATAAATAAAACCTTTTAAAAGAGAATATTTTGATGTTTGACATTCATGTTAGTTGCATAGATTGAGAAAATCTTATACATAGGCTGGGTCCCTGCGAACAACTCAATAATTTTTGTGTGCCAAACACCTGGGGAGGGGAGCAGCCCGCAGTGAATAACCCGCAGTCCTGGCCCTGCCGGACCTCACAGTCTCACCACTCAGCGTGGAGACACACACGTGAAACAGAGGAGAGCTGCCAAGTGTTAAGGGGCACAGAGGCAGGGAAAACAAGTTCCTTAAGAAGAACAGGTTTAAACAGACTTGGAAACTGGTTAAGACGTTGGGAGGTGGAACTACGCAAACTAAGGGCAGTGAAGGAGGGGTGCAGAGGAGGGAGATCGCTGGGTGCGCTCCCAGGGGTGGAGCCCTGGTTCCAGCAGGAAGCATGATGGGCAGGCAAAGGCAAGTTCATCAGGAGGCTGGGGATTGGGGATCTGATTACATCAATGATGGGAAGCTCCTGGAGATTTTAAATTCTGATTCATATTTATTTACTTAAATGGACATAGTTTTGATTTGGCAAGTTTATTTTTATTTTAAAAAAAGACATAAGGTTCAGGGAGATTCACTACTTGTCTGTGGGTGAAACATGTGGATTCAAGTCTGAGTGAGAAAACTTACCGGGAGAGAAAGAAACGTGTTGAAAAAATCGGCAAAGACTTCATCCTCCAGCAGAATTAGGAGATTTGTAGAACCAATTATCTCTACATAAGGAAAACAACAACAACAACAACAAAAAAGAAGCAAAAGAACATTCACATGAACCCATGCTACACTCAGGATGAGAAAACAGAGCAATTGAATGAATGGGTCATTTCCCATGGCCAAGTCTCAGCATGGCCATGACCTTCAGGGTTGTCTAACTCAATTTCTCCCCAACTCCAGGACTCTTCTTGGCAATATCAGTCTGCTTGAACACCTCCAGCTATGGCGGTGGGGCCGGGCGGGGGGGGCTCACCCCTCATAAGGCTGCCATTCCACTTAGGAAAAGAGAAAATTGTAAGGAAGATTTTTCCTACTGTGAACTCCCTTCCTTCTTCTCTCCACGTATAGCAATTCTGCCGTCTGAAGCTTCTCAGAATCCACCCAAGTCCCAAACGTGTGAAGATATCACAACCCACTGCTTATCTCCAGCTCCTCTGGCTCATAACTAAGCAGTTCTTCAACCCTTCCTTGCATGGCCTCCTTGCCATGGTTCCTCCTTTCTTGGCCAGAGTGTCCCCTGCAACTCACGTACTCTGCCCACTTGCCGGGGAAGGGCATAGACAACTGTCACCCATACCGTAGGTTCTGTTAGTGTGGCCAGAAGTGGGGTAAGCTTTGGGTTATCATTACACTGTTAACTCCACCATCCTTTGTTCAGTCAGCCCCTTTTTAGAAAACAAGGGTAGGAGTCTACATTTATGCCAGTCAAATTACAACCTGTTGCTTTGGTCCCAACCTTCTAACCCAACAAGAGCTTTTTTGAATATCGATCTGGTCATGCAAAATATTTTTTATTCCTCTCTGGCTTGATCATTGAGCTGCCCAAGTTCATTCGGAGAGAGTAAAGTTTCACTGTCACAAAGCTAAGCAAGGACACCACAGGTGGACTAGTTCACCGCCAGTCTCTTAGAATGCTGTGCTCAACTAGTGAATAGTGAGCTACTTGTTCTATCAATGGCTCTGCATTTTCCCATCATACCTGAAGTTTATAATGAAAGACTTGTAAAATGTGCAACCTACATACCATACACTAGTCCTATCCCTCAGCTCGGTGGAACATCTGGGTACCACTCACCGTCACTACAGTGTAGTTATGATAAAGTAAGAAAACTAAACAATCCTTCAGTAACTTTTCCTGATGGCACTTGGTGATTATTGTCATCATGTAATAGAAATAGAAATAAAGCTCAGACCATCAAACACTATTGTAATAGTACACATCAGTTCTTGCCCTCTGTTCCATACAGATATTTTTTTTGCCACCTACTGTTGTAAATTTTTTAAAAAATGGACATACTTTACTTCAATCAACAAACTCAGATTCTTCAAGCCTCAGCCCATAGTTGGCAGGCCTCCCTTCCCTGTCCCCTCACCCCATCCCTCAGCCCCAGCGAGGGGAATGGAAAAGGACAAGCCAAGGGGGCGGCTGCCAGGACAGTCTGCCTTCCGTGTGTGCTGAGCCCAGGCCAGCTGCAGCAGGATGGCAGCTGCCACAGACCCCTCCCTATGAATGAAGTCCCTGCAGCCACTGCTGTGGGCGAGGTGTGTTTGTGGAAGGCACGCCCGAGGGCAGCATCGCTGACCTCCAGCCAAGGAGTGGATTGAGGGCATCGTTAACCCTTGTGTAAACTCCCACCACTTCTTGTGTGAGTCCTCGTATGTTTAATTAGATTTTCTTTCCCACAGATGTTATAAAAGAGGAAGTAAACAATATCTATACAAAAGAAGCTAATAAAGACTTTTCACACCCATGGTGCCTGCTCTTGTTGACCAGCCAAAGGCATTGCTCTTTCTTACACAACCCCAGTCTGCTTCACAAACCACTGGGCATCCATCAAGAATTGGTCTATAGCTCTGGCTGGTGTGGCTCAGTGGATTGAGCACTGGCCTGCAAACCAAAGTGTCACTGGTTTGATTCTCAGTCAAGGCACATGTCTGGGTTGTGGGCCAGGTCCCTGGTAGGGGGTGTGGAGGCAACCACACATTGATGTTCCCCTCTCTAAAAATAAATAAATAAAATATTTTTTTAAATCTTTAAAAAAAAGAATTGTTCTACGTATCATCTTCGTGGCGAGTCAAGCATGGGGGAACCTACTACAGTGGTGAAATTGACGACCGCCCCCCGCACGGTCATGTACATCTCCCCACCATTACAATGCACATGTCATTGTTTTCATCCATTGATTCATCTGTCTTCCTCACCAGACTGAACTCACATGAGAGGAGGGCCCTTGCCTTTTCATCTTTCTCCCCACAGGAAGGCACTAGAAGGGTGTGTGTGATGTCTAAGTTCTATAAATGTTGAAGGAATTGCTCTTTGAAGAGAAGGTCTTCAGTCTTTAGGAATCCTGTTTGTTTGTCACTCACAAAGCCTGGCATGGATTTGTTTAACGAGATTATGAAGATACCTGAATACAGGAAATCAGGTCTTTACAGAAATTTCCCAATTGATTGTGTCCCATAACTACACACACTGCTGGTGACAAGGGGCTCGGCGACGACAGGGCTTGGCATTAACAGGACAGTCTCAACTGGGTACAGGAGCAAGGCTCTGTACATCCTCCCCTTCCCCATCCTATGATTTCCTCATTCCTGTTTTTCCATTCTCATCTGTTCTTCTTTCAAACTTCTCGATAGGTTGGGAAGGCTTTCAACACTCATTCCACACCATGGTAACACTGGGGACAAAAGGAAGCCCTGGCTAATCCCAAACCTCTTGCTAGCCTTCTACCTGGAGGAGGTAGGACACAGGAGGGCCTCATCTGCATTTCACTCCCTCCCTCTTAGTTGCCTTAGTTGCCTTGTGAATGGGGTCCTGCCCTACCTTCAAAGATAGGTGGCATATGGTGAGGGGTTCGGGGGCTGGGGGAAAGAAGAGCAAAGTAAACAAAGGGCATGAGTAACAGAACAGCCACCTGTGGCACCCCTGCTTGACTCAGGTCTGTTCATGGGCGGAAGGTGAGTGATGTGCCTTATTTGGGGACTCAAAGCCCGAGTGCCCTCCCTCTCAGAGACTCACCGACATTGTTCATGTTGCCATGCTCTCCTTGCCACTGTGACTGATTAGGAGCAGAGCAGGTCCCCGTCTACAGAACCCCACTCTCTGAGAACGCACAGTGACGCCTGTTCTTAAAGGTTCCAGATTCTATCGTCTTTTTGTGACTCTATCTCCTGGATCCCCTTGAAGGTATCAGACCCTTCCTACACGTAGGCCTTTAAGTCTATACTATTTTGTGTGCATTGACAGGTTCTTTGCCATTGTTGTCCAATTACAGCTCATGTCCCAAGTTTAAGTTCTATCTCTTTAACCCGACTTTGTGCTTTGGCAAGGAGGGATCTAGTCATCTGTTTCTAATGTGTCTTTTGGGTATAATATCCTTCTTGAAATTTAACAGGTACTCAATGAATATGTAATAACTTAACGTGTCTGTCAGATAAGCTGGAACATTCAATCTAATATCCCAGTTTGTTTTCCACCCTTTCTCCTCCTTCCCAGATAGTTTCCCCTGGTTGGCCATGGGCTACTTCAGTTTCCATTGGCTGTGAAAAGTGAGACAATAAACATTAGCTAAATGCCTTCTATGGAGAAGTTAGATTAGGGGTTTATACAAGGTCTGTCCAGAAAGTATTCAGCCGCATAATATGACAAAGAAATTTATCAAAGAAGATACAAGAGACAAGAAACATCACAGGACAACCATGCCTCAGTTCCCTTCAAAGTAGGCACCTTGGGACCTCACACGGTTCTCCCAGTCACCATCAGCTGCCCCGTCACATTTTCCTGAACCTCATCCACGGTCTGAAATCTCTTTCCTTTCAAAGATGATTTTACTTTCAGGAAAAGCCAGAAGTTGCAGGGCATCAAATCTAGGATATAGGGGGGCTGAGTCACTTGCATGATTTGAAGTTTCGCCAAAAAACTCTGCACAAGATATGATGCATGAGTGGATGCATTGTCATGACGAAGCTGCCAATCACCAGGTGCCCATAGCTGCGGTCTTCTGAATCATCTGAATAGTTTCCGTGGAGGAATGTTCAAGCTTAACGCATAATATGATGCAGATTCATTGCTCTATTTACTCAGCCATTTTGAATGCGACAGGCACACAGTACACATGTTCACTCAGTGGTGTCTACCACCCCCACTGACTAGTACAGTGAAGTCACTATTCACACACGTGCAGTCCAGTCCACTCTCCTTGGCTGCCAGGTTACACCGATGTCCCACAAACCATTCTTGTTATATTAACAAAGGTTGGACTTTTTCTGGACAGACCTCATACTTTGCCTTCATTCAATTCTCAGCCCTGCAGAACAGATTATTATCACCTTTCCATTGAAAGACAGTAAGCACAACACTAACATTTGCCTCTGCAGTTTGATTCAAGAGCCCATGTTATTTCAAATATGCCAGTAAGTCAAACCTCTTTTTCTCATGAAAAATCAATTTTAATGGGCTTAAAAATACACTCCTTGGACTTCCTCACAATAACCTATTTTTCTGTGACTCAGGGTATATGTAAAAGAGCCCAAAGAGGATCCTGGACATTGACTGGGTCAACAGCAAGTGCATTTAATAGGGTTGAGTGTTGTTTTATATTGTCTCAGTGGTCTCTCTGGTGGTCTATTGGGGGTCAGAAATCATTGTGTGGGTTTGGAGGAACTATGCACACCAGAAGGGTGCCTAGTTCCACCAGACAGTCCCTCCTTTGCCCTGGCAGCAAGGACACACTTGTCCTAAACTCAGCCATCAGACCCTGCCCAGGACTTTTCATCGTCAAGGTGTGGCTGCCTCAGTAGCTCAGGGGCAAAAAGAGATTATGCATAGCAGTGCCCATGACAACAAATGCTCAGTGGTGGTGGTGCCAGCAGTAGTGGCACAGTGGGGACAGCCACAAAGGCTGAAAGAAGATGCTGTAGTTGAAAATGAGCATGATTCAATGGGAGGAGGTGCTAACTACCGAAGTACATGTAGACATCATAACAGCAGTTATGGCAG